CCACAGGTGGTGCGGGTGCTGCGTCTGATGTGTCGGCGGAGGAGACAGTCGTCAAATCAAAGAAGACAGCCTTTGATGCAGCAAGTAAAGCGGAGGCAGCAGCAATTTCTTTTAAAGAAGCACTGAGTCAAGTGCAGACTGCACAGGAGGCGGCCAAGAAGGCAGCAGAGGGCGCAAAGCGTATTCTGACGGGCGGCGCCAAGAAGGCAGCGGAGCTTGGGGCCCAGGCATTGGACAAAACGCTCGCCGCTGTAGCCTCGCTGAAGGAGCTTGTACCTGCTGCTTCTACGACTTTGGGGTCAGGCTCAACGAGTTTGGACGAAAAGAAGAATAAGGCAACGGAGGCACAGAAGAACGCTAAAGGAGCAACGGAACTTGCTGAATGGGCTCTATCGAACGCTACGAAGGCAGTGACAGACGCTGACGTTCTCGTGAAACAGGTGGAGACAGAGGAGCAGAAAGTGAAGGCAGCCATGTCGAAAGCTAAGGAAGCGACGGCGAGTATACCGGGAGAGGCGGTGAAAGTTGTGGCAGCGGTTGGCGAAGCCGAACAAGAGGCAAAGAAAGCAAGTACAGCTGCAGATGCTTACCGCAAGAAGCTAAACGATGCAAACAAAAAAATGAAGGATATTCTTATTGCAATGGACACCAAACTTATTGCAGCAAAGAAAGCGGAGGAGTTGGCCAAGAAAGCTCTATCCGATGGAAAAAAAGAGGTTACAGATACTGATCACAATGCACTCGAAAAAGATGCTAGTGATGGGTTGGAGGCTGTCTTAAAAGGATTGAAAACCAAGACAGAGGAGATATTTTCATCTATTACGGAACCTGAAACCGAAGCCAAAGCACCTATGGACCTCCTGCAGGCTGCAATGAAGCGTACAGAGAGTGCTGTAACGTTGGCTAACGTTGAGAAATCAGCAGCTGAAGCGGCGTTGCAGCAAGCCAATAAGGATCTGGAAGCCGCTGAAAAGAAACAGAAGGAGAGTGAGAAACAGAAAGAGGGGATTCTGGAAAGCGAAGGGAGTGAAAGGGACGGAGAGAAAGGACTAACACGTCCCCATCAACCCGACACCACTGATGGCACTGCGACTCCTCCTGCTGGTGCGTTGTTGCCTAAGACCGATGGTACTGCGGATGGCGAGAAGCTTCTTGCTCAGCACACAGATGGCAGCGACGTCCCCGCGTGGGAGCGTGCGCCACTGATGCTGCTGCTGATGGCCTGTGTGGCTGTGTTGTAAGACTTCTGTGTGTGTGTGTGTGTGCATGGGACGATGATGCTCCCACCGTAATTGCGTTGAGTGCTGAGGACTGCACTCCTGATTGTTAAGATTCTTTTGTTTTC